TTTTTTGTGGCACTGTCTACACTCTCTTGTTCTTCTGATTATAAGTGTTAACATTTCTATGCACTCCTTGTAAGACGTAACAACACCCGCTTACAATATGTCATATGAAATGAAATATATATCATTAGTTATAATAAAAAAGTGAATCGAAAGACATGAAAGTAAGGAGGAAAAGAGACAGGCAATAATTCATCCTTTTGTAACCAGATTAATTTTGGAAACATACATATAGATATATGAATTCATGTACAGAATGCATCCAACAGAACTGGAAGAATTGTATGCGGCCGGCAGCAGCGTGTCAGATGTTAGCAATGCGCGCCCAGCGACACACACACACCTGGAAGAATGTGCGTTCACGTGCGTTTTATCATATGTTGCTTGTGTATAAGGCGCTGGCTACTGACTATTGTAGGAACCCTCCCTCCTTATATTACGCGCGCCCAGCGACACAGATGTGCACAGCAACCGGGTAGCTGGAAGAGGGGGCGGGGGCGAATTCACATAATTAAAATATTGATATAGTAATTGATTATATATTAATATAAATCAATAATGATTTTATACATTATATTTGATTTCGAAATTTCCATGGCGAATCACTGACGGGGCGGCCACCACTCTCCGATTAAAGGAACTGCTAACAAAGGTAATTGTTTATTTACTAGTTTTCGTATCACCAAATTTCCTGAAATTTGATATAATTGACGTATCATTGATTATATATTAATATATATCGAGATATCGAGTTTTGTTTAATTCTAGGAATCAATATATCGCCATATTTCGCCAATCATAAATCCAATAAATTTCACGTTTCATAAACGTTGCTCTTAAGCTTACATGTTTGATTAATTTGAAAATCATTCCAGTTATTATATCAAGTACTTAATCAATTGATGTCATATGTTTCCTCATAGTTAATGATGTAAAAAAATCTTTGCCTTGATGTAGTGTGAGGACGTCTCTTACGCCCTGGTAGAGGAATGCCGCAGAAGATGAGAAGCAGGAGCGGAGGAGGCAGAGGGAGCATGATGCACACCGATTCGCGTCGGGGGACTTCCGAGACAAACCATCGTAACTGACGGATACAGTGTTTTATGCTGATATTCCACGTGTTTTTAGAAAAATTTGTTGTATTTTATACTAATTAATCGTTTACTGTAAGTTCAATCCCATATGTATGAGCATGTAGTCTCGCGTTTTATGTGTACAACTGCGGCCCGTTGTCAGAAATTCTCATTCAACTAGAACAACTAGCACTAGAACTAGAACATCTAGTTATAGAACTAGAACTAGCTCTAGAACAACTAGCTATAGAACTAGAACAACTAGCTCTAGAACTAGAACAAGTAGCTCTGGAACAAGAACAAGTAGCAGTAGAACTAGAACAACTAGCTCTGGAACTAGAACAAGTAGCTCTATAACTAGAGCAAGTATATAGCAACCTGATTGTAATCCCATGCATGTGCGTTCACGATCTAAATGCTTTCAAATAAATATTCTTCAAATAAAACGCCACAGATTCCTCTTTATATATGGTGTTAATTATTCAAAGGCTATCAACTATACCTGTCTGAAAAATCATCAAAGAAATTGTAACATACACTGTTAAGAAGTTTGCAGTAGATCATTGGTAGTTTGGGTTGTTGTTGAGGACTCGTTGTTGTTGTTGTTGTCTGGCGGTGTTGACATTAACACTGACCTTGACCAAGACCTCGTCCAATGCCATGTGGCCTTCAGCTCAAGGTAATGGCCTTGACCTACTTTTTTCATTTTCAAACGTTTTTCACAAATAGGTCATGGCCTTGAGCTCATGGCCTTGACCCACTTTTTTGTTGTAAAAGTTTTACATTAGTAGGCCAAGGCCATAGCCTTGAGCTCAAGGCCATGA